CTCAGTGTTTTAATCGGAACTCTGCCAGTGCTTTTATCTAGCGACGTGTTGTCATTTTTGTCTTCTATGAAATTTCTGTCCCAAGAAAGGCAGGATTGTATTTTTTTCTAACAGATTGAGTTGGCATAGTGTATTCTTGGTTATCAGAATACTCATATAGCTTTGGGATTTTGAACTGTAAATATCTCTGATGTATGAAACAGCACGATACATATTGTACGATCTCAATCTCATAAAATGGGGTGTCGTGTCTGCATACACGCAGGAACTAGAGCGTCCTGTAAACTTTACAGTTTATAAACTGTAAAGCGATTCTGATTGTGGATGACTTTGTTCTTTGCTTCTTATGTGTTTTAGTTTCCTATAATGCACGTACTTTTAAAAAATAAAAGTTATTTTTAAAATCTGAAAAAATAAAAACAAAAAATGGCCAACTCTGTCCTCATTGTTTTTGTTCCTAACCTGCTTACCTTTCTTTACCTCTCTGCAGTCTGGCTTCACCCCCCCATTTTATTAAACACGCCCTTTCTGGAGTTCACCCCCATTTTATCAAACACGCCCTTTCTGGGGTTCACCCCCCCCATTTTATTAAACACGCCCTTTCTGGGGTCACCACTGACCTCTTAACTTTTTTATTTTGTTTTAGAGACTAAGTCTCACTCTGTCGCCAGGCTGGAGTGCAGAGGCTGATCCCGGCTCCCTGCAACCTCTGCATCTCAGGTTCAAACGATTCTCCTGCCTCGGCCTTCCAAGTAGCTGGGATCACAGGCGCCGCCACCACACCCAGCTAATTTTGTAAATTTAGTAGAGACGGGGTTTCACCGTGTTAGCCAGGCTGGTCTCGAACTCCTGACCTCTGGTGGTCCACCCGCCTCAGCCTCCTAAAGTGCTGGGATTACAGGCGTGAGCCACCGCGCCCAGCCCTGGCCGACCTCTTAACTTCTGAGACCAGTTATATCTCTGTTCAGTCCTTATTATACGTAGTATCTTCTTGCATGTTTGGCATCACAGATCAGCCCCTCCTTGTAATTCATTTCCCTTGATTTCTGCAGCACCTGTCTTTCTTGGTTTTTCTACCCGTCTAACCCCTTCACCCTTTTGCCTAGTTCCAGTGGCCAGACCTAATGCCATAAGGACATTCTCAGTTGAATGTGTTTGATTTACCACTACTGAAACCACACTGTTTGTTTCTCCCAATAAATACTCCCATCCCCATCTTAAACCTACTACTTCTTTCTTCTTTTCATTTAGTTTCATGACATCACATGTATTCGGTTTCCCAGGCTTGAAACCACAGGATCATCTTCAGCTCTTAACTTTCTTATTCCTTAATTCCAAACCCTATGGATTGTGGGCCTAAAAACCCTCTCAAGTCCTTTCTCTGCTCTCTGATACAGGCAGTTCTACATGGATCACAGCATACACACAAGCAAAGCTGTTTCTGATGCTGTAGAACTTGTGTTAACTTGTCAGATCTTCATGATTTAGTACTTCCGTGTCTTATTCCTAGGAATGGTCCATACTTACGCAGGCTATGTGTGAATATCCCTGTAGTCCTTCTAATCATATAACCTGAAGTTAGCACTCAGGAAAGTATCTCCTCTCTGATTGTTTTGTTTTGTTTTTTCCAGTAAAGACAGGGTCTTACTCTGTTGCCCAGACTGGAGTGCAGTGGCGTGATCATAGCTCACTGCAGCCTTGAGCTCCTGGACTCGAGCAATCCTCCTGCCTCAGCCTTCCAAGTAGCTAGGATTACAGGTGCATACCACCAAACCTGGCTTATTTTTATTATTTTTTGTAGAGATGGGGTCTCGCTGTGTTGCCCAGGCTAGTCTCGAACTCCTGGCTTCAAGCAATCCTCTCACTTCAGCCTCCTGAAGCACTGAGATTACAAACATGAGCCACTGTGCCCAGCCCTGAACTCTCATTCTTAGTACATTAATTCAAACTCTATTCCTTTGTTTAAATTGTTCCTATTGCTGATCCTTTGTGGTTTTTTTTTTTTTTTTTTTTTTTTTGAGACAGAGTCTCGCTCTGTCGCCCAGGCTGGAGTGGAGTGGCACAGTCTCGGCTCACTGCAAGCTCTGCCTCCTGGGTTCACGCCATTCTCCTGCCTCAGCCTCCCAAGTAGCTGAGACTACAGGTGCCCGCCACCACACCCAGCTAATTTATTATTATTATTTTTTTTTGTATTTTTAGTAGAGACGAGGTTTCACTATGTTAGCCAGGATGGTCTCGATCTCCTGACCTCGTGATCTACCCGCCTTGGCCTCCCAAAGTGCTGGGATTATAGGCGTGAGCCACCGCACCCAGCCTTTTGTGTTCTTATATCTTTCTCACTACTATGAATTAGTTCCTCTATTAGTAATTATCAACTGCTTAAAAATATTTGATAGTCTCCATTTACCTTATGATAAAGTCCTGATATCTTAGCATGAATTTTTAGGAACGTCATCATCTGACACCAAATAAACCTTCAGCCTCAGCTCCTCCCCTGTTGCTGTAGTTCGCCTTGTGCGTCAGCCAGACTAATCATAACAGCTGTTGTTTATCGGACATTTGTTACGCGGCAGCACCTTCTGACACTTCCTTCTTAGTAGAGACAGGGTTTCACCATGTTAGCCAGGCTGGTCTCGATCTCCTGACCTCAGGTGATCCGCCCACCTCAGCCTCCCAAAGTGTTGGGATTATAGGCGTGAGCCACCTCGCCCAGCCTGCTATGTCTCTTTTAACGTAGTATAATGTGTTTGCATTGGGCCAGTATTTCTCTATCTTCATTTTTATTTTTACTGTTTTTGCACTTAAGTAGCAAAAACTTAAGCATCTTGACTTTTCATTGGGTTTTGTTTTTAAGGGACAGATATTTTTAAATTGTCACAGTAATTTGTAATTTTATATCTGTTTTCCAGAATATCAATAACCTTCCTTGTTTAGCATTATCTTCATATCTGAGCACGTGATCAGTTCCTTCCATTAGACAGATCTTCCTAAGAAGAAATCCAAGGCCATTAATGACTGCCCTTCGGGTGTCACTTTCAAGCTACTTGTATTTTAACAAGCCCATACTTTCCCCGTTTGAGATTGAGAACGTAACGTAAGACAGATTAAAATAACTCATTGAAAGTGAGAGAGATCCGTGTGGTAACTGAGTGGAATCTCTCTGTCTTTATATATGTGCACACATACCTGCCTGTATACTTCATCTTGTGACATTTACTGTGTGCTTGGCACTATGCTACCATTTTCCTCGTATCTGTGTGCCCTTTTACTCATGAAAATAAGTGGATCTGACATTATTTGTTCAGTAGAAAACTGTAGTGATTGCTTCATGGTATTTAATACTCTTGCAAGCAGTTAGATCATTCAGTATAGCATTTTTCTAGGGGATAATGTTAAACTGATGAGTTGCTAACTTCCAAGGATATTGTTTTTTAAAGACAGAAACATTGTCTATTTCTAAATTTCAGGAAAGGGTCGTCAAGAATCTGTTAACTGCCTGTGTATGTCCAGTAGTTAGTATTATCCTTGACAATCTCATGGCATTGGGGCAAAAATAAGCAGTAAATAAGGTATATGCTTTCTCTCAGGGTGGGAAAAAGTGCATGTTGACAGTTAAAATGTGACAGAGGAGCAAGTATTGAATTATAACACAAGCGAACATTAACACTGGGATGGAATTTCAGAGAATGGAGGAATTAAAATAGGCTAAAGTTGTTGAAAATGACTTCGTACAGGAAGTTGATTTTTTTTTTTTTTTTTTTTTTTTTTTTTTTGAGACGGAGTCTCGCTCTGTCGCCCAGGCTGGAGTGCAGTGGCGGGATCTCAGCTCACTGCAAGCTCCGCCTCCCGGGTTCACGCCATTCTCCTGCCTCAGCCTCCCGAGTAGCTGGGACTACAGGCGCCCACAACCGCGCCCGGCTAATTTTTTGTATTTTTAGTAGAGACGGGGTTTCACCGTGGTCTCGATCTCCTGACCTTGTGATCCGCCTGCCTCGGCCTCCCAAAGCGCTGGGATTACAGGCGTGAGCCACCGCGCCCGGCCCAGGAAGTTGATTTTTTAAAAAGGAGGCCAGGTGCAGTGGTTCCCACTTGTAATCCCAGTATTTTGGGAGGCTGGGGCGAGAGGATTGTATGAGCCCAGGAGTTCCAGACCAGACTAGCCTAGGGAACATAGCAAGACCCCGTCTCCACACACACACACAAATTTTTAATGAGCTGGCAAACGCCCTGGGAGGTGGTCCCAGCTGCTTAGGAGGCTGGGACAGAAGGATTGCTTGAGCCCAGGAGGTCAGGGCTGCTGTGAGCCATGGTTGTGCCTCTGCACTCCAACCTAGGTGACAGAGCAAGACCCTGTCAAAAACAAAAAGTTCTTTTTAAAATAAACAGGCCGGGCGCGGTGGCTCAAGCCTGTAATCCCAGCACTTTGGGAGGCCGAGACGGGCGGATCACGAGGTCAGGAGATCGAGACCATCCTGGCTAACACAGTGAAACCCCGTCTCTACTAAAAAATACAAAAAACTAGCCGGGCGTGGTGGCAGGCACCTGTAGTCCCAGCTACTCGGGAGGCGGAGGCAGGAGAATGGCGTGAACCCGGGAGGCGGAGCTTACAGTGAGCTGAGATCCACTGCACTCCAGCCTGGGCCACAGAGCGAGACTCCGTCTCAAAAAAAAATAAAATAAACAAAGGATAAGATTTTGATACAGGCAGTTCTACATGGAGCACAGCATACACAAAAGCAAAGCTGGTTTTGATACTATAGAATTTGTATTAACTTGTCAGAACACCATGATTTAGTTCTTCCTTGTCTGATTCCTAGGAATGGTCCATACTTATGCAGGCTATGTGTAAATATCCCTGTAGTCCTGTAGTCCTTCTAATCATGAGCACTCAGGGAAATACCTGTAAAGACCAGTCTGTGAACCAGTGCGCATGGGTAGATACATTATACTTTGCCCAGTAAAACCTGTAAGATTGCCAGTGATCCGATTTTTACAACCGCTAATATTTTACAAAATTTATATATTACACAATTTTAAAAAGAGCCATTCTCTTCCATTTTGGAATGATCCTTGCTTTCAGGTGTGCTGTGTGTGCATCCTCATGTCTGCATTTGTACTTTCGTTCCTAGTCTTCACCACACCCAAGAGCTGCTCTATGAAAGCACCAAAGATTTTCTGCAACTCAGATCTGAAAACCAAAGTAAAGAGAAGTCATGGATGCTTGAAAAAGATAATCTGATGTCAAAGATTAAGCAATACCGGGTGCAGTGTAAGAAGAAAGAAGATAAAATTGGAAAAGTGTTGCCCGTTATGCATGACAGTCATCATGCTCAAAGTGAATATATTAAGGTAATGTCCTTATGTCTTAAATAAGTTATTTATTTTTCTGGGAGAGTTGAAGGAATTCCAAAGAACCTACAGTTTGTAACGTAAGGTCCATTCAGTGCGGAAAGCTCTGGTAGCAGCTGCCTCAAGAACTAGGTTTCGAAGAACAGCTGATCATTATAGCGCTTAGGAATTTAAAATATTAGCCTTGTTCATTCATTCATTCATTCATTCATTCAGCAAATACTTACTGCACTGCTGGCCGGGCACAGCGGCTCACGCCTGGAATCCCAGCACTTTGGGAGGCCAAGGCGGGCAGATCACGAGGTCAGGAGTTCAAGACCAGACTGGCCAACGATGGTGAAACCCCATCTCTGCTAAAAATACAAAAAAAATTTAGCTGGGCGTGATGATGGGCGCCTGTAATCCCAGCTACTTGGGAGGCTGAGGCAGGAGAATTGCTTGAACCTGGGAGGCGGAGGTTGCAGGGAGCCGAGACCACACCACTGCGCTCCAGCCCTGGTGACAGTGCGAGAGTCCGTCTCACAAAAAAAAAAAAACAAACAAAAAACAGAAAACACAAATATTTACTGCACTCCTGCTATGGGTTAGGCCCTAGAGTTACAGTAATCTAAACAAGGTCTGTCCTCATGGTATTTACGTTTTAATGGTGAGAAAAAACAGAAACATTAACAAATAACTAAGAAAATTATAGATTAGGGCGGGTGCGATGGCTCACACCTGTAATCCTGGTACTTTGGGAGGCCAAGGCGGGTGGATCACCTGAGGTCAGGAATTCGAGACCAGCCTGACCAACATGGTGAAACCCCGTCTCTACTAAAAATACAAAAATTAGCCGGGCGTGGTGGCAGGTGCCTGTAATCCCAGCTACTCGGGAGGCTGAGGCAGGAGAATCACTTGAACCCAGGAGGCAGAGGTTGTAGTGAGCCAAGGTCATGCCACTGCACTCCAGCCTGGGTGACAAAGTGAGACTCCGTCTCAAAAAAAAAAAAAAGGCTTTAGGAGGTCGAGGTGGGCCGATCACAAGGTCAGGAGTTCGAGACCAGCCTGGCCAACACAGTGGAACCCTGTCTGTACTAAAAATACAAAAAATTAGCTGGGCGTGGTGGTGGGTGCCTGTAATCCCGGCTACTTGGGTAGAGACTGAGGCAGGAGAATCGCTTGAACCTGGGAGGCAGAGGTTGCAGTGAGCTGAGATCGCGCCACTGCACTGCAGCCCAGTAACAGAGCAAGACTCCGTCTCAAAAAAAAAAAAAAAAATATAGATTATAAAAATGTGGTGTTAAGGGAGTAAAAGAATTACATGAAGATTATATGTAGTTGCCGGAAGTCTGTTGTATTAACAGAAGGAACGCACAGGGACACTGTCTCATATCTGGTGTTTTTGCTGAGACCTGAAAAATGGGACTAAGCTTGCCATACAGACCTTGAGGAAGAACATCCCTGGCAGAGGGAAAAGCAAGTCTATATGCCCTGGAGTATGTTCAAGGAAATGGACGGCTGTCGTGGGTGTAGAGGAGTGAATAAGGAGGAAGTGGATGCCCTTTAAGAAGCCAGGGTTGGCAGCAGCCAGTCGTGGAGGGCCGTGTGCATCACGGTACAGAGTGTGAACTTAGCCCTCAACAGTGTTAGGCCTTTGAAGGACTGTGTGAAAGAAGTAACATGATCTGATTTGGGTTTTTAAAAGATCATTTTAACTGCTCAATACAGCATGTATAGTAAGTGTTGTTGTTAATAATTCTTCCTTTTTAAAAACATATATTGTAATGTCTTACTTGGGACAGCTTCTGAGGTCCATTATCTGACTCTTCCCAGAGCCAAAAATATTTGTTTGAATTTCTACTCTGTACACATTGGAAACGGGGCTTACGAAACTGGTCTAGAAGTAGGAGATTTTCAGATGTTCCTCAAAGTTCCTTGTCGTTTGGTTCCTTAACTCACTTTGTACCTCTGGAAATCCCTTCTTTTCTTTCTTTCTTTGCCTAAGTGCTACTTGAATTACCTAAACTGTAGAACTGAGTGTTCATAGTTTTTGTCCCTTTGACTTGCAGTCCCTAAAAGATAAGTTAGTCCAAGAGAAAAAGCTGTCTGGTATGTACCAAGAGCAGTGCATTTCCTTAGAAGAGGAACTTGCCCGAATTCGTGAGGAAGAGGGAATGAGGAGAGAGATCTTCAAGGTACAAAATTATCTTCCATTTACAACGGAATAGGAAGCGCCGACGGCTGGGGAAAACGCTTCCCTCCCCTTCATAAATGCCTCCCCGTTCCCCGTGTTTAGGATCGCACTAACAAGATGGGGAAGCGTTTACAGGTAATGACAAGACGCTATGAGGCACTGGAGCGTCGACGGATCTTGGAAGTAGAAGGCTTTAAGACAGATATTAAGGTTCTCCGACAGAAACTGAAAGACTTGGAGCAAATGTTGTATAAGGTAATTGCTGGGCCTGGATTGCCACAAGGGAGAAAAGAGGTGTAAGTGAGGGAACGTGGTCACGAGGCTCCTCAAAAGAAGGATGTGTTGTTTCCGTGCTGACAGACACTAACAGATCACCGTCTGGAAGCCTCCCTGAAAATCAATTCAAGTACATGCTAGAGGGAAAATAAAAATACCCTGAAATCACTGAATGATTGCATCATTAATACTTCGATGTGAGCTAAACGTAACGGAAATTGTCATCCCTCCTAATTCAAGAAGCAGATTAAACAATCATGTCTATTTTGCAGTTGGGGAAAGTGGGTAATTGATTGATAGAGTGATTTTTTCCGGCAGACACAGTTCTTTAGAATACAAGTTGCCTCAAGAGCCTTCTTCATGAGATTTAGCCAGTTAGCCTGAGCTCCAAACAAGCTTAGTTACAGAAAAGAGGAGAGGCCTGCTTTCATTCTGTGACAAATTTACCAGCGGTGTTGCTTATCCTGGCCTGTCTTACTCCTCTTTCATTGTTCATTGATCTCTAGCTCAAGGCTCCTTTATTGTACGGGAAGGATGTTCATGGGATTTCTGCTTTAATTCTACATTTTCCTTCTTTAGTTAGCCACTGAACAAACTAAGGATGGCATTTATCCTGTGTACTCAAAATCTCATAAAAAGGAGCTAACAGAGCTGTGTCTTTTTGACCGACACCTCTCCCCTGGCATATGCCATAATCATTTCTTTCTTTCTTTTTTTTTTCCAAATCCCTAGGCAACAATTAATGTCCGGGCAAACCAGGATCTTGCCATTCTGTGTGAGGTCCGTGACAGCAATAGACGGGCACATAAGATACAAGGAGAACTGAAGAATCTTAAGTCGAAAGTGTTTGGTCTGGAGAATGAACTGAGACTCTGTTGATGTCTACTTTTGGAAATGGCCCCCATTTAGAAGAGGTGTGCTCCTTGAAACCTGAGGACAAGGTCATCTGCTGCCAGAAAATGGAAACCTGAGTTGACTAGAGTGATGGTGTTGATTATTATGAAGACAGGGTGAAGAATCAGGGACCACTAGGAAAGCTTTTCTCGCAGGCTCAGCTTGCTTTATCATTTTTGCTGTCCTTTTAACATTTGTGGGGAGTAGGGGCCTGGTCCTCAATGACCTGGAGGCTTTCATTATTTATCCCGTCTGTATCAACAGGTTTTTGTGTTTTAGAAGACAGTGATGATAAAAACTTAGGAGGAAGGTATTTTGCAGTGAGCTTGGTGGAGTGTCCGTGGGAAGAATACTTTCCCTGAAGAGAGAGACGCACGGACAGAGGCTGCGGTTTTCCTGAGCTGGGGGAGAAGGCAGCACATCGCAACCTGTCCCATTGGAATAGGCGCTCATTCTGCTATTTCACCTTCTGTCGTGAGCAGAGCCTGAATTACGTTTCTGGGCAGTTTCATGGTGTTTCACCAGAGGGCACTAGAGACTCAAACAAAATGTCCATCTGGAAAAATTAAGGAGACACTTTGGCAAGGGTGAATGAAACTAAAATGATCCTTGTTTGGAAAGTTTGATATTTTTATCAGTAACATGGCTTTTGAAAAATTATGTATAGATTTTAAATTAACTATTTTCAATAAAATATTTCATTCAAAAGATTCTCTTTGAGTTTTCTGTAACTTCTTCTCAATACTATGTCCATGCTTCGTTAATGACTCACGCAACTCAGTTTACTTTTTTGTTCCATGGCCTCTGCAGTTTTGTGCAAGTGTACAAGTTTTTTTGGGGTTTTTTGAGACAGAGTTTCACTCTTATCACCCAGGCTGGAGTGCAGTGGCGTGATCTTGGCCCACTGCAGCCTCCGCCTCCCGGGTTAAAGTGATTCTCCTGCCTCAGCCTTCCAAGTAGCTGGAATTACAGACACTCACCAGCATGCTCTGCTAATTTTTGTATTTTTGTTTGTTTGTTTGTTTGTTTAGTAGAGACAGGGTTTCACCATGTTGGCCAGGCTGGTCTTGAACTCCTGACCTCAGGTGATCCACCCACCTCGGCCTTCCAAAGTGCTGGGCTAACAGGCGTGAGCAACCATGCCCAGCCCACAAGTTTTTTTAAATGACTCCTTTGAAATCATCTAGTGTTGGAGATAACAAAGTAGCACAAAGGGGATGACAATAAAACTTTATCCGTTTTTAGGCAAATTGCATTTGGGACAAAATAATTGTTTCCATACCCAGAAAGCCTCTTGGTAGTAAGTTGGTCTTTGCTCAAGATAGCATCTTTCTGATTTACCCAGGACAAAGGAGAGAACCCAGGTTTTCATATTTACAATTGTTAACGATGTGTAAAGGAAGGTGGTGATTGTACTGCGGGCAGAAGCTATTACTTTTCTTGAAAAAGTCTGTGATAGCAGATCAGTTTTTTCCATTGATAAACTGGGACAAACATTCTCAGAGTGCCCTGTTCCCAGGCCTTAGAGAGATGTACGGGAGTGGATGATTCTTCCTTCTGTCCTGATACTTAGGGAATTGGCTTTTCCTGACCATTACTTTTGTTGTTGCTGGCAAAACAAAAAGGTGTATTAAGTTAGAGAATTTTGTAGTAAGAAGCAACTTTAAATATCATATAATCCAACTTACTTACAAATGACTCTGAGACCTACTGCCATTGACTTCAGCAATCAGTTGATCGTGTTTCTAACATCCTGGTCTCAATTCCATAACATTCATCTTTATATTAACCACCCACTGGTGTGGCCCTCTTTAAACCTCACGGTCAGTTAAACCTCTATCACCAAGAAGCAGCATAAAATAGTGGAAAGGGCACAGGCTTTGGAGAATCACAGATCTAGACTCAATCACACCTCTTACTAAAATTCTCCAGGCTCTAGTCTCCATCTGTAAAAGAGACGAAAAGCTACCTGTTTCAGCAGGGTGACTGTGAGGATTAAGAAAGAGAAAATCTAGTATCCAGAGTATATAAAGAGTTCTTACAACAGAATTAAAAAACACACAATTCAAAAATGGGCCAGGGATCTGCGTAGACATCTCTCCAAAAAAGTTATACAAATGGCCAATGAGTACATGGAGAGATGCTCAACATCATTAAGGAAATGGAAACTAATGTGATACGGCTTCATGCTCACTAGGATGGCTATCATCAAAAAGTAACAAGTGTGGACAAGCATGTGGAGAAACTAGAGGCCCCATAGATTGCTGACGAGAATGTAAAATGATGCTTCCCCTTCAAAAAACAGTCTGGCAGTTCCTTGAAAAGTTAAGCATAGAGTTACCATATGACCCAGCAATTCCACTCCTTAAGTACATGGCCAGGATAAATAAAAATATACTGCCACACAAAATCTCGTGCATAAATGTTCACAGAAGTATTAATAATAGACCAAAAGTGGAAACCATCCAGATGTCCATGAGCTGGTGAATGGAGAAACAGAGTGTGGTATATCCATACAACAGAATATTAGTCATGGAAAGAAGTGGGGTAGTGATACATGCTACTGCACGGGGAACCTTGCAACATTTTGCTAAGAAGGCAGAAACAGAAGGCCACATATTGTATGATTCCCGTACACATGAAACGTCCAGAATAGGCGAATCCATATGGAAAGGAGATTAGTGATTGCCAAGTGCTGAGAAGTGGGGGGAATAAGGGGTGACTGCTAATGGGTACAAGGTTTGTTTTCCCAAACTGTGAATATACTTTAAAAACCACTGAATTGAATGCTTTAAAAAGGTGAATTTTATGGTATGTGGGTTATATATCAATTTTTTTTTTTTTTTTTGAGACAGGGTCTCACTGTCACCCAGGCTGGAGTGCAATGACACAACCTTGACTCACTGCAGCCTCAACCTCCCGGGCTTAAGCAATCCTCCAACCTCAACCTCCTGAGTAGCTGGGACTACAGGCACGTGCCACCATGCTCAGCTAACTTTTGTAATTTTTTTTTTATAGAGACAGGGATTTGCCGTGTTGCCCAAGCTGGTCTTGAACTCCTGGGCTCAAGCAATCCTCCCGCCCCGGCCTCCCAAAGTGATGGGATTACAGGCATGAGCCACCGCACCCAGCCTATATCAGTTAAAAAAAAAACCTCCATGGAATGACTTTGTCTGGCACGTATCATAGGCATTCAGTTACAATTAGCTATTATCTGTATTTTGGCTTCAACTGACTTACCAATTGCTTACCACTGCCAATCAGATTCCATGATGTATTTAATACCATTCATTTATTCATTCAGCAATTTCTTTCTTTTTTTTTTTTTTTTTTTTTGAGACGGAGTCTCACTCTGTTGCCCAGGCTGGGGTGCAGTGGCCGGATCTCAGCTCACTGCAAGCTCCGCCTCCCGGGTTCACGCCATTCTCCTGCCTCAGCCTCCCGAGTAGCTGGGACTACAGGCGCCGCCACCTCGCCCGGCTAGTTTTTTGTATTTTTTAGTAGAGACGGGGTTTCACCGTGTTAGCCAGGATGGTCTCGATCTCCTGGCCTCGTGATCCGCCCGTCTCGGCCTCCCAAAGTGCTGGGATTACAGGCTTGAGCCACCGCGCCCGGCCAGCAATTTATTTCTTAAGTGCTGTTTGTTTTGTTCTGTTTTTGTAAGGAACAGCCTCTTGCTCTGTTGCCCAGGCTAGAGGGCAGTGGTGCGATCGAAACCCATTGCCACTTTGAGCTCCCGGGCCCAAGCAATTCTCCCCCTTCAGCTTCCCAAGTAGCTAGGACTACAGGGGCATGCCACTACACCCACTTAATTAAAAAAAAATTGTGGCCGGGCGCGGTGGCTCAAGCCTGTAATCCCAGCACTTTGGGAGGCCAAGACGGGCGGATCACGAGGTCAGGAGATCGAGACCATCCTGGCTAACACGGTGAAACCCCGTCTCTACTAAAAATACAAAAAACTAGCCGGGCGAGGTGGCGGTGCCTGTAGTCCCAGCTACTCGGGAGGCTGAGGCAGGAGAATGGCGTGAACCCGGGAGGCGGAGCTTGCAGTGAGCTGAGATCCGGCCACTGCACTCCAGCCTGGGCGACAGGGCGAGACTCCGTCTCAAAAAAAATAAAAAAAAATTGTACAGATAGAGTCTCACTATGTTCCAAGGCTGGTCTTGAGCTCCTAGCCTCAAGCAATCCTCCTGCCTCATCCTACCAAAACACTGGGATTACAAGCATCCCACTGCACCTGGCCCCTAAGTGCTTTTTATGTTCTAGAAATTATGCTAGATCTTAAGTTTACAGAGAACAGTAAAATACCTGTGCTCCCAAGGTTGGTGGGGAAGATAAACATAGAAAAACTCAGTAATGAAGTGCAGTTCTGTGGGTGTGCAGGATAGAAAGCAACAGAGACGGTGACTTGCAGGAGATGCATGTGAACTGAACCTCAAAAGTGAATTTGGACCTTTGTAGGTAGAGGACCTTGTAGGCAGAGGGACAACATGTATGAAGACAAGGAAAAACAGAATGTTTAGGGAAATGCAAGTACAGGAGACAGAGTTATGTAATACACAACATAAATAGCATGAAATTTCATTTAATACAATTATGCAAACCTGCTAAATATTCCAAGACCCTTTGAATCAATTGAAAATGTTTGGGATTACTTAAAACTGGAGAAAAACAACTTAAATATTTTGTGACACGAAGTCACGCATGAAACATAATTTGAAATGCAAACTCATTTCTTAAAAATCAGGGGCAAGGGGGCCAGGTGTGGTGCCTCACACCCATAATCTAGTAATCTCAGCACTTTGGGAGGCCGAGGCTTTGATAGAGCCCAGGAGTTCCACACCAGCCTGGGCAACATGGCAAAAAACCATCTACAAAAAATACAAAAGTTAGCTGGGTGTGGTGGTGCACACCTGTAATCCCAGCTACTTGGGAGGCTGAGGCAGGAGGATCACTTGAACCTGGGAGGTTGAGGCTGCAGTGAGCCGTGTTTGCACCTCTGCTACAAAGCAAGACCCTGTCTCAAAAAAAGTGAGGTGAGGGGAGATAGGAACGACCATGAAATAATAAATATATGAAATATTTATTTCCTGGTCAATCGTTGTACTTCAGATCAAGCTAAGGCACGATCACTTCATACTAGGATGTATTGCGGTATCTGCAGGAACAAATCAAAGGATAGTGCCAAAGATCTTGGAAAAGCGTCATCATCGTCATTTCCTTTGCATTTTAAACTTTCTTTTAACCACATATACGAGTAACTTGGTAATAAGTCACCTTTTTATCCATGAAACTTACGTGATTTTTCACAAAATAAAATAGCCTCTGGCTATGTTATTTTTGGTCCAGTCTTATGATTCTCGCTGCCTCTCCACCCACATCACGTTAGTTGGGCTACTGAGACTTACTGTAATATTTGCAACACAGCAGATTGCACTATCATCACTCACTGTGTCTAGGGACAGAAGGAAAAAGATGGCGCTGTCCTCATCCAGAAGAGAAATTCAGAGTCTAAGCTAAAGGGAGACATTGAGAATAAAGAGGAAGGGACAGATTTGAGAATCATTTAGGAGTAGAATGGTCATCCTATCTTGGTGATGGATGACATGTGAGAGTCAGGGAAGAGTTAAGGAAGTGGGAAGATCGCTTGAGCCCAGGAGTTCGAGACCAACCTGGCTAACGTAGTGAGACCCTGGCTCAACAACGACAAAATTAGGCGGGCACAGTCACTCGCACCTGTAGTCCTGGCTACCCAGGAGGCTAAGGAGGCAAGACTGCTTGAGTCCAGGACTTTGAGGCTACAGCGAGTTACGATAGTGCCACTGTACTTCAGCCTGGGCAACACAGCGAGACCGTATCTCAAAGGAAAAAAAAAAGATAATTCTCTAACTTCAAAGTTTCTGGCTTGAGGTACCACGTGTCCAGTGACACCATTAAGTGAGCTTCAATGTATAGGAGAAGCAGCCTGTTTCTAGTAAATTTGGGAATAGAGACCTGGAAGATAAGTTAGTATTAAAGATTTGGAATTATTAATATATAAAAGGTAATTGGATACGGATGAGATCCGAGATGAAAAGCATACAGAATAAGAAGAGAAGAGGGTCAAAGAGGGGAAACCTTCACAGTAAGAGGAGGGGTAGCCAGTAAGGAAGGAATGATCTGAATAACAAGAACGTGGTGTTCTGGAAGCTCAGGGAATGAGAACTTCTAGAAGCCAGTGGTTGGGAGCATTGCCAAATGCTCCAGAAGAACCATGTAAATTAGAACTGAGGTTTGGGGATTTAGCAGCAGGTGAATTTAGAGCAACTTCGTGAAATAGAGATGGAAGTTGGCTTATATTCGGTTGAGGGATGAGGCCAGAAGGAAAATGGGAAATAGCTTCAAAGTTGCTAAAGCCAAGGAGAGGAGTTTTGTTAGTTTTAGGCTGGGGAAGACTTCACCGTATTTGTAGGCTGAAAGGGAAAAGCCAGAGGAGGGAACTGAAGCCAGAAGAGTGAGAGGTGTTGCTAGGTAGGACGCCGGGGAGAATGAGCGCTGGTACTGATGGGCGCAGGAAGAGCAGATGAGCTGGTATAATAACTCTAAAGGGGTAACTACCCTGTTTTCACGGAGGAACTAAAGTTAAACCCTCCCCTGAAAGTGAGATAGGGCACTGACGTGACGGGGAGCTTGAGGAGAAGAGTGAATGCTGGAAAGATTGGAGGGAGCTGACAAGAGACAAGGGATAGAGTTGTTAGGAGTAGGTCTTGATGAAGGATTTATTGAGTTGAACTGCCTGCCAGGGAGAAAATGTCTAGAATCTCAGCAAGTCACAGTCTGCTTCCTCTGCCCTTCTAACTTCCTAAGTCGGTAAGGGCACAGAGCCAAAAAAGACCTAGAATAGGTAGACCAGCAGAAAAAAAGGAGGTGAAGAGACAGAACTGGAAGGAGGCTTTGGCTGCAAAGTGAAGGGAGGCCCTGCAAAGACAACATTTTGAAAGGGGGGTTTTAAATCTCTACGTGAAAACATTGCTTTATGAGCTTAAGCTGTGAAATATTCCACTCCTGGACTAGTTGGTAGCTTATTTTCAAGTTAGCCACACAAAAAGCAACGTGAACACAACCTAGACTTCTAGAGATTACTTACTTGATCGCCTCACGTTGAAGATGACACCACAATGCACCCGTGTTATTGTGTGTAGGAAATCCCTCAGTTTGCAGATGATGCTCTTCCTGGGGGAAACTACCAGATGAGAATATTCACATCTTTTTTTTTTTTTTTTTTTTTTTGAGACGGAGTCTCGCTGTGTCTCCCAGGCTGGAGTGCAGTGGCGTGATCTCGGCTCACTGCAAGCTCCGCCTCCCGGGTTCACGCCATTCTCCGGCCTCAGCCTCCCAAGTAGCTGAGACTACAGGCGCCCGCCACCACGTCCGGCTAGTTTTTTGTATTTTTAGTAGAGACGGGGTTTCACCATGTTAGCCAGGATAGTCTCGATCTCCTGACCTCGTGATCCACCTGCCTCGGCCTCCCAAAGTGCTGGGATTACAGGCTTGAGCCACCGCGCCCGGCCGAGAATATTCACATCTAAGTGAACGCAGGTACCTATGTAGGTGACTGTGGGGTCAGATTGTCTCTGAGAAACCCACCATCCTTGCCAGAATAGCCTTCTGGGAGCTCAACCTCCAAGTGGCAGCTACGATTGTTTCTGTTGGCAGATATTAGCTCTCTTTCTCTTTGCCTCTTCAGCTGCATGGCCTATTTTTTTCAAACTGAGCCAGCCACTCTATTTTTCAAAAAATTAATGCTGGGCACGGTGGCTCAGGCCTGTAATCCCAGCATTTTGGGAGGCCAAGGTGGGAGGATCATTTGAGGCCAGGAGTTTGAGACCAGTCTAGGAACACAGTGGGACTCCATCTCTACCAAAAATATAAAAAATTAGCTGGGTGTGGTGGTGCACGCCTATAGCCCCAGCTACTTGGGAGGCTGAGGCTGGGGGATCGCTTGAGCCCAGGAGGTCGAGGCTGCAGTGAGCTATGATCAGGCTACTGCACTCTAGCCACGGCTACAGAGTGAAACCCCATCTCTAAAAAAAAAAATAAAAAAATAAAATATATGAATAATAAATAAATTGTGTTGACACATGAACAGAATAGACATATATATATATATGTCATTATAATAGATGCATCTTGAGTTGGCCTGCTAAATATGTTTTTTTTTTTTCAGTTTGGACAAATATTTATTTTATTCTCCTTGATGATTCAGCTCATCTTTCTATGTTTTAGATAATTGTAGATTCATATGCAGTTCTAAGGAATAATACAGTGATTTTACGCACTTTTTGCCCAGTTTATCCCCAATCATTGACTCACTCCTTTTTGACTAGTCTGCAGCTAGCGAGTCCTGGGAATTCTAGATTGGACCATGATATTTGTGTTGACTTGTGACATTTTCCTCCCCTTTTGGCTCACAGTTGCCACATCCTCAGCATTCAATGACAGCAGTGCTGATTTTAAATGACCATTTCAGTATTGCTTATGTTGACTCTTCCAGAGTCTCTTAGTTGGCAACCTTGCCTTGGCATTTGTAGGATAATTAAATATTAAGTAGAGGGATCCCGAACAGGAATGAGCCTAAGGAGTATCGTCATGCACATTTTTGTAAGGTTTCATTTGGCCCAAAGCTCAGTAATCAGTGCAGATTGAACCGGTGTGCCTGGGTTTTTCTTTTTACTTAGAGAGGCGGTTCCTTACCCTAGCCTTATCTCTTGTGTCACTCCGCAGGCTGGGCCGGCACCCGATAAGTTTCTGTGGAAAATAACTGTTCTCTGTGTGCTAACAGGTTCTCTTGCTTGTTTCATGTCAAAGCAATGAACTCCTTCCCCCCAAAAAAATGACCTTAGGAAATTCTTCTTTCTCTACGTATTCTCTGCTCATTTCCTGAAGCCTGACTACTTTGTCCTCATCTTTGAGATTCAGTATTTCTCCCCCCCAACACTTTTGTTTATTTATTTATTTTAAAATTTTACATAGAGACGGAGTCTCGCTATATTGACCAGGCTGGTCTCAAACTCTTGGCCTCAAGCGATCTTTCTGCCTCGACCTCCCAAAGTGACAGGATTACAGGTGTGAGACATGGCGCCAGACCAGATTCTATATTTCACCTTGAGTCAGTCGGACGAGGCTGCCCTCTAACTTCCCGAACCCCTCTCCTCTGGGGGTGCTTCCCACCCAGTCTCCTGCCCTTGCCTCCTGAGCGCTGATCATGAGTCCTTAGGAGTTCATTGCTTTGATACAAAACAAGCAAGAGAACCTGTTTGCACACAGAGAACACAGCTGTTTTCCACAGAAGCTTATCCGGTGCCGGCCCAGCCTGGAGAGTGACACAAGAGACAAGGCTAGGGTAAGGAACCACACTCTGTCAGTGCCAGCATGCACCGGCACTGCCTCTGGCTCTCCCTGCTTCCTCGGTCTCTGTCCTGGTCTGACTTCGGCACCTGGTGCACTTGCCTGCTCCTGGTCTCTGCTTCTGCTTCTGCTTGTCCCACCAGTGTTGGTGTTTCCAGGAGTTCTGACTCGGGCTCTCTTCACAAGCCACCCGCATCCTCTCCTGAGGTGTTGGCATTCCTCTCTGTGATGCCAACACCTCACTCTCTCCCCGTGGAAAGAATGCTGTGGGGTTTCCTTTTCTACAGGTCTTTAAAGGCTGGAGAAATCTCCCTTGAGAATAGTATGGCATTTAAGGGAAAACCTTCCTGAAAGCAGTGTATTCGGCCTAGAAAGCTGAGATAACGCTGGGATCTGAAAATGCAGCGCCAAGGCCTCTGACCTAGATTAACAAAATAATTCAGAGACTGATGTGAAGTCTCTGAGGTCACTTTCTAATTCTCTGAAGGAAAATTCAGAGTGTGAAATGTCTCCTATAAACACCTGGATAACATATGGGACGACACAATGCAAGGCTTCACCATGCGCATCTCTCACTGGCCTGCTCTGACCGCCCTCTTTTGAGGGTAAGGTGCCTGGCTGAAGAGCAGAATCCTCATCAAGGCAGAAGAATATTTGTGATGTATTTAAGTTTAGATATAGGGTCTCACTCCATCACCCAGGCTAGAGTGCAGATCACTGATCACTGCAGACTCCACCTTCTGGGCTCAAGCAATCATCCCACCTCAGCCTCCTAAAGTGTTGGGATTTCAGCGCCCTGGAGCTTCTAAAAGATGCTTCTGCCTTGGTGGGGTGCCGTGGCTCACGCCTGTAATCCTAGCACTTTGGGAGGCTGAGTTGGGAGAATTGCTTGAGCCCAGGAATTTGAGCCCAACTTGGGCAACATAGCCCATCTCTACAAAAAACTAAAGTTTAAAAATTTAGCCAAGGGCTGGGCACAGTGGCTCACGTCTATAATTCCAGCACTTTGGGAGGCCGAGGCAGGCAGATCACTTGAGACCAGGAGTTTAAGACCAACCTGGCCAACATGGCGAAACGTTTCTACTAAAAACACAAAAATTAGCCAGGTGTGGTGACACACACCTGTAGTCCCAGCTACTCGGGAGGCTGAGGCACGAGAATTGCTTGCACCCGGAAGGCAGAGGTTGCAATGAGCCAAGATTGCACCACTGCACTCCAGCCTGGTGACAGAGCAAGACCTGTCTCGAAAAAAAAAAATTAGCCAGGCATGGTGGCACATGCTTGTAGTCCCAGCCACTCAGGAGGCTGAGGCGGGAAGAACGCTTGAGCCCAGGAGATTGAGGCTGGAATTAGCCATAGATTGTGCCACTGCACTTCAGCCTGGATGACAGAGAAAAAAAAAAAACAGAAGGAAACAAATACACATGTCTTGACCACCCTCCAACACCCACACACTGTGTAAGTGGCAAATATATGAGAGAATAGGAAAACAGAGCAGAAAGCCTCACCACGTGACTATGCAGTGTCACCAACCGTCCCTGACCCAAATCCCTAAACTGGGTTCATCGTCTTTCTTTACAGCTCAGCCAGTGAGGATGTTCTGTTTCAATCAGCTCTTGCAAACTGACTTTACTATTTTTTATTTTATTTTATTTTATTTTATTTTCTGTAGAGATGGGGTCTCGCTATGTTGTCCAGGCTGGTCTCCAACTCCTGGGGTCAGCCTCCCAAAGTGCTGGAATTGCAGGCGTGAACCACCGTGCCCGGAGACCAGGCTGACTTTCAATCAGACTGCTTCACTCGGAGCGTTTACCCAGGAATGAGATACTGGGTAAATGTATCTCATTTACTCCACTACTGCTGAGAGGGTCCGAAGTCGTTTTTGTTCTCACCCTAACCCCTTCCCAATCATTTTTGTTCTCACCCTAACCCCTTCCCAATCAGTCATTTTTGTTCTCACCCTAACCCCTTCCGAATCATTTTTGTTCTCACCCTAACCCCTTCCCAGTCATTTTTGTTCTCACCCTAACCCCTTCCCAGTCATTTTTGTTCTCACCCTAACCCCTTCCCAGTCATTTTTGTTCTCACCCTAACCCCTTCCCAGTCATTTTTGTTCTCACCCTAACCCCTTCCCAGTCATTTTTGTTCTCACCCTAACCCCTTCCCATCCCCCCACCCCTCCCCATCTTTTTGTTCCCCCCCCCCCCTCTTTGTTCTCACCCTAACCCCTTCCCAATCAGTGTCTCCCCCCCCTTCCCCGTTTTTGTTCTCACCCTAACCCCTTCCCACCCCCCCCCCCCCCCCCCCCCCCTTCCCACTCCAGTCGTTTTTGTTCTCACCCTAACCCTTCCCATCATTTTTTCCCCCTCCCCCCTCGTTTTTCTCACCCCCCCTTCCCAATCGTCGTTGTTCTCACCCTAACCCCTTCCCAGTCATTTTTGTTCTCACCCTAATTTCCAGCCTGGGCCCGGCTCAGCGTGGCCGCCGTTTGCCGCCTGCAGAGGGCGCCGGGGCCGAACTCAAGGCCGCTCCGCTTCTCCCGCTCCGGGGCCAGGAGAGATTCCGGAGAACCGCACACAGCGCGGAGTTTGTTTTCTTTCTTCCGTGCCCAGCCCGGGCGGCGGCAGAGCTCAAAGACGAGTCTGTTCTGGGGCAAAGACGGCGTCGGCCGCTCTCTCGAACTGGCCCCGATCAAATCCCAGCAGCCGGTCCTCAGATAACGCGGCTGGGAAACCCGAACCCCGCAGCCCCGCCCGCCCGGCGCCGGCGCCGCCGTCCGGAGGCCGCGGAGATGCCGCAGTGACGCGGGTTCGGGGCCGCGCTGGGGCCCTCGCGGCGGCGCTAGCGGCCTGGGCCTGTGAACTTAGACAAAGACGTTGTTCAGGAAGCCTGTCCGGCCGCTGGCGCTCGAGCTGTTCGGGGCGCTCTGCACGTGCCCCGGGCTTAGGACCGTCGTTCTGCCCAAGCCGGGCCGCGAGGGAGGTGAATGCAGCGCGCTCCGCTGTGAATTCAACCGTGTTCAAGGCGAGGGAAGAACATCCGCGCCCCACTTCTGTTTTCTTTTTCTTTTTTTTTTTTTTTTTTTTTTTTTTTTTGAAACGGAGTCTCGCTTTGTGGCCCAGGCTGGAGCTCAGTAGTGAGATCTTGGCTCACTGCAAGCTCCGCCTCCCGGGTTCACGCCATTCTCCGACCTCAGCCTCCCAAGTAGCTGGGACTACAGGCGCCGCCGCCGCACTCGGCTAATTTTTTGTATTTTTAGTAGAGACAGGGTTCCACTGTGTTGGCCAGGCTGGTCTCGAACTCCTGACCTTGTGATCGGCCCACCTCGACCTCCCAAAGTTTTTTTTTTTTTTTTTGTTTTTTTTTTTTTTTTTTTTTTGAGACGGAGTCTCACTTTGTCGCCCAGGCTGGAGTGCAATGGCATGACCTTGGCTCACTGCAACCTCCGCCTCCTGGGTTCAAGTGATTCTCCTGCCTTAGCCTCCCGAGTAGCTGGGATTACAGGCACCTGCCACTACACCCGGCTAATTTTTGTATTTTCAGTACAGACAGGGGTCCACTGTATTGGCCAGGCTGGTCTAGAACTCCTGACCTTGTGATCGGCCCACCTCGACCTCCCAAAGTCTTTTTTTGTTTGTTTTGTCACCCAGGCTAGAGTGCAATGGCATGATCTCGGCTCACTGCAAGCTCCGCCTTCCCGGGTTCACACCATTCTCCTGCCTCAGCCTCCCGAGTAGCTGAGATTACAGGTGCCCACTGCCGCGCCCGGCTAATTTTTGTATTTTTGATAGAGACAGGGTTTCAGTATGTTGGTCAGGCTGGTCTGGAACTCCCGACCTCATGATCCACCTGCCTCGGCCTCCCACAGTGTTGGGATTACAGGCCTGAGACCCAGTGCCTGGCATGACCACTTCTGTTTTCTTAGGGGAAGCCTCCTTAAATGAGTGGGCGTTCAAGTTGACAGAACCTCATATGAACGCGGAGTAAGGACATTCTTGATTACTACAGAGTATTTATTAAATGGCTTCTGGACTGAAGCCTATAGAAGGAGTACAGACCATCAAATGTAGAAAAGATGTGGTTATTTAGAAGCCCTATTAGGGGCTCGAGAAACTGTGAGGTCAGGAGTGAAGGGTGCATGAGAGTTTTTTTCTTCAGGATGGAAGAATAGCGGTAGGAAATCCAGCTTCACTCAGAGTCCTAGGGACCTATGCCCTGTTCTGAAAATGCTGAGACACACATCTGTGTGTGCTCAAACTTGTAGGGACCAAGCCTGGGATGTGTCCTTGGGAGAAGAGAAGGAAGCACTAAGACTTCACTCAGAGGGATGGCACTACCCTGGCACCATGGTGAGCCATACGGCTTCCAGACATTAAACATGTGCCATGACTTGGGAGTGGGGAAGAAGCTACTCAGAGCTGTGGGTCATTATGCCTTAGCTCCAGCTACACACCCCCTCACTAGTATCTGCAGCAGAAGACTACAGAGTGCAGACAGAAGAGTGCCTTTCTAGAGAAGTGTGAGATAATGTCTTTCTAGTGGGGTTTAGTGGTCAGAGAGACAGGAGGTAGAGCTTTGGGGAGGCCCGTGTCGATGGTCTCAGCACCAACTAATGAGCCAGCTAGAGCGCTGTTCACACTGTCTTCCTCTGGGTTTGCCAGCAACAAAGAAAACCTGAGTGGTAGGAAATAATTGGTATTGCTCAGTTGAAAAGCCTGAACAAGTCAAAGATAATTTTTTTTTGACCTGGATGATTGTCTCTTGCTGGGGAATCCTTCTCCCTGAGGGAGGAAAGCAGATAGAGACGTTAGAATAATTTGGAGGCATTCATAATGCAGATTGGAAGAGGAAGCAAGGCCCAGCAATAGATGCCAAACTTAGAACTTCAAAGCACATAGTTCTGGTTTGGGTCACCCCTCACCATTTGCTGAGGACTATATCAACAACTCACTTGCTGGGGAGTGAGATGAAGTATGTGAATTGCCTGGGATTTTTCCCAGCTGATGAGCTTTAGTTTGACCCTCAGCATAACATCTCCACCTTCTCTTCATCTTTTCTTTAACTCCTTTCATCTGATTCCTTTGACGCTTTACCATGCAATCTTGAACGTGTTCTTCTATAGGGATGCTTCTATCGGGATATTCATCTGTTTCCTAGTCTAGTTTGTAAAATTACTTAGGACCACAGAGAGAGAAACTGAGGCTTGAGATCTTGCCAGAGCTCATACTATTCTTTCCATCAACCAAACAGAAGAGCCCAACTGTTTGGAAAAGCAAGGGAAGTGGCCAATAAGAAGCATTCGGTTGGGGGCATCCATCCTCTTCTGGGATTGGCCTCCATAGTAGCAAACCATGCAGAAAGATTTGTAAAAGATGGACTCATGGAAGGAGGGCTAGGAAAAACGTTCTCTTCTGTAAAGAGCAGAGCAGGCAGCACTGGGGAGGGTGGGTTGGTGGGGGATGAGAAGAATGATCATGTGGCTGAGTGAGTTATGGATGTGCTGAAAGTGAGCTCAGAGTTTCCAGAGTGAATATACTTCTGCAGGGGAGTTTCCAGGGGCGCAGCATGTGCAAAGGCAAAATAGCACTGGATCTGAAGTTACAAAGCCTGAGTTTGAGTCCTAAGTGACAGGTCACGTGTATGACCTTGAGCGAGTTATTTAACATCTCCGAGCCCATTTCTTTATCTATGAAATGGAATCAGTGAAAGGACAGTTTCCAGGATATGTGATCTGCATCAGTTGAAAGAGATAAAACAAATAAATGCTTGCCAAAATGACCCTGGCACTTGGGAAACAGGTCTTTGTGGATATCTCCGGCACTGTTCTTTTCTCTCTTAGGAATTGCCTCAAAGTAATGGAACACAGTCTGCGCAACAAACACACAGGTATATATAGACAGGGATAAGACAGATGTAGATATAAATATAGATATAGACACAGGTAGACAGATATGGATATAGATATGGAAGGTCAGACTGCAGAAGGAGGAAGTCTCTGGGGACAAGGGAAAGAGGACCAGCAGGCTAAAGATCTGGTTCCGGTTCTGATTCTATCACTTATTGGTCATGTGAAGAAACTGAGGCTTGCCAAGCTTATTTGTAACGAGAGGAGGCTACTTCCCCTGCTGTTCTCATATGGTTGTGAGGAACAAAACATATGGAATATAGATGTAAAAATGCCCTCTAAGCTCAAAGCTGCTACCTTATAATGTAGGTATCAGGTTTTAGGGAAAAGGACAGGTGGCACAGAGGTCACTGGAGTTACTTAGTATATTTTGACATCTCTATAGAGTAGAATAAGACTTGGTCTGCAGACAACAGGCCATACCTATAGGTCACTAAACAACCTTCCCTTCTGAATTCTCCACAAACCAGAATTTTCTGGTCCCTGTGCTAACCTTGGCCCATTTTAGAAAACTTTGGTCAGACTTTCTTACAATGCCTGTGTAATTTGGGAGAAGAAACTTTATGATTTGACCTGCCCTGCCTCTGATATTCTGGCCACGCAAAGACCAGGCCCTTCTACCATTATTGCAGGTGTATGATGGAAATTATGTTTCCTTTTTGGTGCAATTTGTACAATGTGACCCTGGGCCATTCTGGGTCAGGTGCTGCAGCCGAAGTGGGAGGGTGAAAGGACAGTGAAAACCGTCAGAAGAACTGATGAGTAGCCAGGTAAAATGACGCTGACAATGGACATTTGTGACAATATATGATGCTACCAAAATTTGCCACCATGATACCTCAATCCATATACTTAGTTCTGGAGCTGAGCTAATTGGGAAATTTGAGTCTCAAAATTCAGCTCTTCCCCTGCTGTGACATCACCAGGAGTCAAAAAGGGATGTGGAGCAAGTGGGGTCTGTGAGGGATATCTCAGTGCCAAGGTGTCACCCACAGAAGAGAAGGGAACAGAAGAGGGAGAGAGGAGAGCCACAAGAATGTCCTGGCCTCTTTTCTCTTCAACTCCTGACACCCTCTCACCGTAAGCCAGGAAAGTAATGATCTGCTCAAGTTATAAAAACAAAGTAGAAATAAGAGGAGGACAGAAAATCAAGAGGTACAGGGTGATCTCCTTCCTCTTCTAAATTTCTTTGGGATTCATGTTTGGACCATAAATTTGGCCTTTAAACTGTCAGACTTCTTTTCCTGTGGACTATCTTTTTTCCTCAACTAAACAGCATGCTTCTTGTTTTAGATCTCTCCCAGTTCCTATATAATAGATGCTTCAAGCATTTGGTTGACTGAAGTGATTGCATGAGCTTTCTCAGTCTTGAGGAGAGAACTGTGGCAAGGCTGCCACCTGTTTCTATGACAAAGTGTTAAGAGTGACTCAGCCTAACATCCAGTTGGGTTGCCCTTAATGAGACAGGGACTGTATTTACAGGGCCCGGTCACTTCCCACTTGACTCAGCCGAGCTTGCACAGGCTGTGCACATGCTGGCTGCTCCTATCTTGGACTTGTGGAAAGAAAGAAGAACATGAGAAGTGCAGGAATCTGTGGCTTTGGAACTTCACAGAGACCTTTCCCAGGGGCTGCAATTAGAGAACTGTCCTTTGGATTCACCTTTGCTAAAGAACTACAGTGAAAGTTCTGGGAGATGTTTGCTCAAAGTGCTACCCCATCCTCAAACCTTCCTAAGTGCTAAATGGACATTGTACGACCCACTGGAAATGTAGCTCCCATTTCTGAAGCCTTACAGTGAGGTTGGGTAAACAAGACGCACACACTCCAAGTAAGTTCCAACATATCAG